TCAAATTACTCTCACACTCAGGCATATAGCGCACCTTAAAATATGGGTTACTCTCATGCACAGACTTCTGGCGCCCCTTAGAGTTACTCTCATGCACAGACTTGTAGCGCCCCTTAGAGTTACTCTCATGTACAGACTTGTAGCACCCCTTAGAGTTGCTCTAATGTACAGACTTGTAGCGCCCTTAGAGTTACTCTCATGTACAGACTTGTAGCGACCCTTAGAGTTACTCTCATGCACAGACTTGTAGCGCCCCTTAGAGTTACTTTTATGCACAGACTTGTAGCGCCCCTTAAGGTTACTCTCATGCACAGACTTGTAGCGCCCCTTAAGGTTACTCTCATGCACAGACTTGTAGCGCCCCTTAAGGTTACTCTCAAGCACAGACTTGTAGCACCCCTTAAGGTTACTCTCATGCACAGACTTCTAGCGCCCCTTAGAGTTACTCTCATGCACAGACTTGTAGCGCCCCTTAAGGTTACTCTCATGCACAGACTTGTAGCACCCCTTAAGGTTACTCTCATGCACAGACTTGTAGCGCCCCTTAGAGTTACTCTCATGTACAGACTTGTAGCGCCCTTGAAGGTTACTCTCATGCACAGACTTGTAGCACCCTTTAAGGTTACTCTCATGCACAGACTTGTAGCACCCTTTAAGGTTACTCTCACGCACAGACTTGTAGCGCCCCTCAAAATTACTCTCATGCACAGACTTGTAGCACCCCTTAGAGTTGCTCTAATGTACAGACTTGTAGCGCCCCTTAGAGTTACTCTCATGTACAGAGTTGTAGCGACCCTTAGAGTTACTCTCATTCACAGACTTGTAGCGCCCCTTAGAGTTACTTTTATGCACAGACTTGTAGCGCCCCTTAAGGTTATTCTCATGCACAGACTTGTAGCGCCCCTTAAGGTTACTCTCATGCACAGACTTGTAGCGCCCCTTAAGGTTACTCTCAAGCACAGACTTGTAGCACCCCTTAAGGTTACTCTCATGCACAGACTTGTAGCGCCCCTTAAGGTTACTCTCATGCACAGACTTGTAGCGCCCCTTAGAGTTGCTCTCATGCACAGACTTGTAGCGCCCCTTAAGGTTACTCTCATGCACAGACTTGTAGCGCCCCTTAGAGTTGCTCTCATGCACAGACTTGTAGCGCCCCTTAGAGTTGCTCTCATGCACAGACTTGTAGCGCCCGTTAAGGTTACTCTCATGCACAGACTTGTAGCGCCCCTTAGAGTTGCTCTCATGCACAGACTTGTAGCCCCCGTTAAGGTTACTCTCATGCACAGACTTGTAGCGCCCCTTAAAGTTACTCTCATGCACATACTTGTAGCGCCCTTTAAAGTTACTCTCATGCACAGACTTGTAGCGCCCCTTAAAGTTATTCTCATGCACAGACTTGTAACGCCCCTTAAAGTTACTCTCATGCACAGAGTTGTAGCGCCCTTGAAGTTTACTCTCATTCACAGACTTGTAGCACCCTTTAAGGTTACTCTCATGCACAGACTTGTAGCGCCCCTCAAAGTTACTCTCATGCACAGACTTGTAGCGCCCCTTAAAGTTACTCTCATGCACAGACTAGTAACGCCACTCACTCTCACAGACAAGCTTGTGGAAACCTTAAAGATTCTGTCATGCGAAGGATTAGGATTGCAGCGCCCCTAAAGTGATTCTCAGATACAGATTTGTACCCCCCCCCCACCCCCCCCCCCCATTTTTTCAAGTATCCAGAAACTATGGGATGTTAACCCCCTTGGCTAGGTACTATGGGGATCGCAACCCTTCGACCTTGTTTCTATGATAGGTACCGTATATCTGGAAGAAATGTGGAAGGAATTCGTCACGCGGTCACTTCGAAGTCAGGTTTAACCAACTACGCTAGCGAGCCGGGCGTGGCTTCCCTTAAAGTTCTTCACAGACTAAGCATGTAGCACGTCCCGAAATTGTTATCTTAGTCAAGCTTGTAGTGTCCCTAGCAGTTTGGGCCAGCGCTCCCTTGATATAGCCGTGACTACCTCTGCCATCCAGATACACACATTGTGTGTGCCTACGCGTGTAGCCGTGAGTACCCCTGCCACCCAGATACACACATTGTGTGTGCCTACGCGTGTAGCCGTGAGTACCCCTGCCACCCAGATACACACATTGTGTGTTTCATCATTTCCCAGCGTCAACCAAGCAGACGTGAACACTAATGCCATTATCTGGTGTCACCCTGACCTCTAGATCTGGCCATGGCTATAAAGATGTGATTATATTTTTGTGGTGTGTTGGCCTCATTTGATGTAATTTGTTTGTCCATTTTTGCTCATTTCCAGCTGAGTTTTTGTATCGGAGATATTATGTTTTGTGTAAAAAAGAAAGAACGAACGGTTTCTTGAACTTTGGATACAGAAACTTTTATGTGAACAATGGCTGACTAGAATTGTATATTTAGGACAGTGTGTGAATGTGTGAAAGTTGTCATGTGAGACTGGAGAGTTTGAGTTTATAGAAACTGAGGGCAAGTGATTTGAATACAATGTTTTCTGATTGTACAGTAAACCTACATTTTGTGGTCATGTGTTGATTGTACAGCACCCACACACTGTGTGGTCATGTGTTGATTGTACAGCACCCACACACTGTGCGGTTATGTGTTGATTGTACAGCACCCACACACGTTGTGGTTTGTTTTGATTGTACAGCACACACATACTGTGTGGTTATGTGTTGATTGTACAGCACCCACACACTGTGTGGTTATGTGTTGATTGTACAGCACCCACACACGTTGTGGTTATGTGTTGATTGTACAGCACACACATACTGTGTGGTTATGTGTTGATTGTACAGCACCCACACACTGTGTGGTTATGTGTTGATTGTACAGCACACACATACTGTGTGGTTATGTGTTGATTGTACAGCACCCACACACTGTGTGGTTATGTGTTGATTGTACAACACCCACACAGTGTGTGGTCATGTGTTGATTGTACAGCACAATGTGTTGATTGTACAGCACCCACACACTGTGTGGTCTCCAGTTGTTTAGCGTTTATCGAGTATGTTATGATTGTATTTATTTATGCGTTATATGTTTGTATTATTTGGGTTCATATACTGTAGATCAGGAGTTCCCAGTTACATAATACCCCGAGCCGCTCTTACTTTCACAGATCTGCCACTGACACCATAATTAGTAATAATCACATGTTTAAAACAAATGACGACAAAACAGTTCTAGAACTGCAAAAACAAGATAGCATAGCTGCAGGTTGTAGTAAAACAAATGACGGCAAAACAGTTCTAGAACTGCAAAAATAAGATAGCATAGCTGCAGGTTGTTGTAAAACAAAATCGCGAATCCATAATATTTTAATGGGGAGGGGGGAAAAAGGGGGGGGGGGGGGGGGGCGGTCTCATGTACACGATTTTGGAACGTCCGCCTTGTAAGTTTTGGACACAGCGCCAGGCATTCACGTTACCCAAAATGTTGTTTTTTTTTTTTTATAAAATGTGTCGGGATGAGAAATGTTTCAGTCCAGCGGTTTTCAACCTGTGGATCGTGACTTCTTTGGGGGAGCGTGGGGGGGGGGGGGGAGAAGGGAAGGGGGTGAACGACCCTTTTAAAGGGGTCGCCTAAAACCAACTGAAAACAAATACTTATTGAAGCTATAAAGTAGTAACGAAGATAATTGTTTGCTTTGGGGTCTCCTCAACATGAGCCAAAACTGCTTTTTACGGATTTTATTTTACCACTTGTGTTGTGTAGGCGGGGGGGGGGGGGGGGGGGGGGGGGGGGTCCTTGAGCCTGAAGATTTATGGTCGCATGGCTAGTGCTGTGGCCACGACTCTGCAGGTTAGGGTTTTATTTTGCCCCAGGCAGAAACAAATCTCTAGCCCTTAAGGATTTGAACCTGAGCCCCCCGCTCGCGAGCCTAGCGTTCTAACGGTTTAGAAAGTGGCTCCTCACATGAGCCAGTGTATTGAAGGGTCGCTGCACTTTGAGGGTTGAGAAACACTGCTTTATGCTTACGTACGGACCGATGTGTGGGTTGCTATCAGTCAGGCAGCGTTGTGAGGGTTGCAGGCAGCTACCGAGCGATGTGTGAGTTGCAGGAAGCTACGGAGCGTTGTGTGGGTTGCTATCAGCCACGCAGCGTTGTGTGGTTTGCAGCCAGCTACGGAACGTTGTGTTGGTTGCTATCAGCCACGCAGCGTTGTGTGGGTTGCTATCAGCCACGCAGCGTTGTGTGGGTTGCTATCAGCCACGCAGCGTTGTGTGGGTTGCTGTCAGCCACGCAGCGTTGTGTGGTTTGCAGCCAGCTACCGAGCGATGTGTGAGTTGCAGCCAGCTACAGAGCGTTGTGAGGGTTGCAGCCAGCTACAGAGCGTTTTGTGGGTTGCAGCCAGATACGGAGCGATGTGTGAGTTGCAGGCACCTACGGAGCGGTGTGTTGGTTTCTGTCAGGTCCAGCACCCTTCGGATTTGAACCCACGATCTTCGGAGCGTCTATCCTATACATCACGGCTGCTTACCTTTTAGTAAACGTAAAAACACATAAACATTGCTTCAAGCCTCAAGTGTTTATACAGTGAAAACTATATGTGTGAAAGTATAAGTCCAGGGGAAAGCACCGACCTACTTCCGCAAGAATGTACCAGGTAATCATTGAGTACCAGACTTTGTGTTGCACAGCTGGACGTCGCAAGTCGGGGCTTCTGTTGATAAAGGGGATTATGAGGCCCCTTCATGCTCCTCAAGATTTTGCATCAAGACGTCTTTTTCTCTAAAGGTATTTCTGTGAGAAATCATTTTCTCTTCTTTTGTCTGATTCTGAACCTGTTTAGTCAGCTACCTGTGTGAAGCGGGGGGAGGGGCTAAACGAAAGGATAATATATCGCAGCTTAGCTGTATATCGCAGTACAGCATGTCAGTTGCCGTTTTGCTGGTGAAGCCAAATGAAGATGAGTCAGAAACCGTTGCAGTTCTCCAGCTATTTCTCTGTTTTCGACAGGAATCGAACATCGACACCTACAAGCGGATGTACGCCTACATGAAAGACCGGCCGCACGTGCTGGCGGAGACCTACGAGCAGGGCATCGAGCGGGTCAAGAAGGGCAACTACGCCTTCTTCATGGAGAACCTGATGATCGACTACCAGGTGCAGCGAGACTGCGAGCTCATGCAGGTGGGAGGCCAGCTGGACTCCAAGGGATACGGCATTGGACTGCCCATGAGTGAGTCATCTCTCATTGAGTGTGTATACGTGTGTTAGAGAGAACGTATGTCTGGACTCTATACGTGTGTTAGAGATAGCGTATGCCTGGACTCTATACGTGTGTTAGAGAGAGCGTATGTCTGGACTCTATACGTGTGTTAGAGAGAGCGTATGCCTGGACTCTATACGTATGTTAGAGAGAGAGAGAGAGAGAGAGAGAGAGTATGCCTAGACTCTATACGTGTGTTAGAGAGAGCGTATGCCTGAACTCTATACGTGTGTTAGAGAGAGAGAGAGAGTATGCCTGGAGTCTATACGTGTGTTAGAGAGAGAGAGAGAGACAGAGTATGCCTGGACTCTATACGTGTGTTAGAGAGAGAGAGAGAGTATGCCTGGACTCTATACGTGTGTTAGAGAGAGAGAGAGAGAGTATGTCTGGACTCTATACGTGTGTTAGAGAGAGAAAGAGTATGCCTGGACTCTATACGTGTGTTAGAGAGAGATAGAGAGAGTATGCCTGGACTCTATACGTGTGTTAGAGAGAGAGAGAGAGAGAGTATGCCTGGACTCTATACGTGTGTTAGAGAGAGAGAGAGAGTATATGCCTGGACTCTATACGTGTGTTAGAGAGAGAGAGTATGCCTGGACTCTATACGTGTGTTAGAGAGAGAGAGAGAGAGAGAGAGAGAGAGAGAGAGTATGCCTGGACTCTATACGTGTGTTAGAGAGAGAGTGAGTATGCCTGGACTCTATACGTATGTTAGAGAGAGAGAGAGTATGCCTGGACTCTATACGTGTGTTAGAGAGAGAGAGAGAGAGAGTATGCCTGGACTCTATACGTGTGTAAGAGAGAGAGAGAGAGAGTATGCCTGGACTCTATACGTGTGTTAGAGAGAGAGAGTATGCATGGACTCTATACGTGTTAGAGAGAGAGAGATAGAGTATGCCTGGACTCTATACGTGTGTTAGAGAGAGAGATAGAGTATGCCTGGACTCTATACGTGTGTTAGAGAGAGAGTATGCATGGACTATGTACGTGTGTTAGAGAGAGAGAGAGAGAGCGTATGCCTGGACTCTATACAAGTGTTAGAGAGAGAGATAGAGTATGCCTGGACTCTATACGTGTGTTAGAGAGAGAGATAGCGTATGCCTGGACTCTATACGTGTGTTAGAGAGAGAGAGCTCGTATGCTTGGACTCTATACGTGTGTTAGAGAGAGAGAGAGAGAGAGAGAGCGTATGCCTGAACTCTATACGTGTGTTAGAGAGAGCGTATGCCTGGACTCTTTACGTGTGTTAGAGAGAGAGATAGAGTATGCCTGGACTCTATACGTGTGTTAGAGAGAGAGATAGAGAGAGTATGCCTGAATTCTATACGTGTGTTAGAGAGAGCGTATGCCTGGACTCTATACGTGTGTTGGAGAGAGAAGTAGAGTATGCCTGGACTCTATACGTGTGTTAGAGAGAGAGAGAGAGTATGCCTGGACTCTATACGTGTGTTAGAGAGAGAGAGAGAGAGAGAGAGAGAGAGAGTATGCCTGGACTCTATAAGTGTGTTAAAGAGAGAGAGAGTATGCCTGGACTCTATACGTGTGTTAGAGAGAGATAGAGAGAGTATGCCTGGACTCTATACGTGTGTTAGAGAGAGAGAGAGAATGCCTGGACTCTATACGTGTGTTAGAGAGAGAGAGAGAGAGAGGAGAGAGAGAGAGAGAGAAAGAGAGAGAGAGAGAGTATGCCTGGACTCTATACGTGTGTCAGAGAGAGCGTATGCCCGGACTCTATAAGTGTGTTAGAGAGAGTGTTTTGCCCGGACTCTATACGTGTGTTAGAGAGAGCGTATGCCTGGACTCTATAAGTGTGTTAGAGAGAGAGCGTATGCCTGGACTCTATACGTGTGTTAGAGAGAGCGTATGCCTGGACTCTATACGTGTGTTAGAGAGAGCGTATGCCTGGACTCTATACGTGTGTTAGAGAGAGAGTATGCCTGGACTCTCTACGTGTGTTAGAGAGAGAGAGAGAGAGAGAGAGTATGCCTGGACTCTATACGTGTGTTAGAGAGAGAGAGAGAGAGTATGCCTGGACTCTATACGTGTGTTAGAGAGAGAGAGAGAGAGAGAGAGAGAGAGAGAGTATGCCTGGACTCTATACGTGTGTTAGAGAGAGAGAGAGTATGCCTGGACTCTATACGTGTGTTAGAGAGAGATAGAGAGAGTATGCCTGGACTCTATACGTGTGTTAGAGAGAGAGAGAGAATGTCTGGACTCTATACGTGTGTTAGAGAGAGAGAGAGAGAGAGAGAGAGAGAGAGAGAGAGAGAGAGAGTATGCCTGGACTCTATACGTGTGTCAGAGAGAGCGTATGCCCGGACTCTATAAGTGTGTTAGAGAGAGTGTTTGCCCGGACTCTATACGTGTGTTAGAGAGAGCGTATGCCTGGACTCTATAAGTGTGTTAGAGAGAGCGTATGCCTGGACTCTATACGTGTGTTAGAGAGAGCGTATGCCTGGACTCTATACGTGTGTTAGAGAGAGCGTATGCCTGGACTCTATACGTGTGTTAGAGAGAGCGTATGCCTGGACTCTATACGTGTGTTAGAGAGAGCGTATGCCTGGACTCTATACGTGTGTTAGAGAGAGCGTATGCCTGGACTCTATACGTGTGTTAGAGAGAGCGTATGCCTGGACTCTATGACTGCCACCGACCAATAATTACCACATCGATTAGCGTAGTGTGAACAGGATGTGTTTGCATTAACCTGATGACTCGTTGACTGACTGCCTGCCTGTCTGAATGACTTACCGACTGACTAACTGGCTGACTGACTAATTGGCTGACTAACTGATTGACTGAATAGTTGGCTGACAAACTGATTAACTGACTGGCTGGCTAACTGATTTATTGGCTAGCTGACTGACTGACTAGTTGGCTGACTGACTGATTGACTGATTCGCCGACTGGCAGTTAAACTGATTTGCTGGCTGGCTAACTGACTGACTAATTGACTGACTGGCTGACTGACTGACTAGTTGACTGACTTACGGACTAGTTGGCTGACTGGTTTACTAACTTTCTTGCTGACATACTGACTGACTGATGGCTTACGAACGTACCACTTGACATTGCAGTGTACTCACCAGTGTAGCTACTGTGTATTTTAATCTTTCCATCATCGTTGATTTTACTCATGTATGACTCTTTCACTAATTCACATGCTGAACATTATCAAATCTTTTAAAATGTATGTCTTGTTTTAGAGTTAACCAAGCTATATTTGTGCATGGGCCAATATGTGTGTAGACCAATATGTGTGTGGACCAACATGTGTGTGGGCCAGTATGAGTGTGCGTGTGAATGTATGTGTGTGTGTGAATATGTGCGTGTGTGTGTATGTGTGTATGTGTATGTGTGTGTGTGTGTGTCTGTATCAAAGGAATGTGACAAACATCGCCAACCCTGGCCTCCTGTCTGTACAGATTCTCCGTACCGGGACAAACTGTCCATGGCCATCCTAGCGCTGCAGGAGAACGGCAAGATCCAGATGTTGTACAACAAGTGGTGGAAGGACACCAGCACCTGCTCACGGTAACCACTCATCATCGTCACCATCATCGTCACCATCATCGTCACCATCATCGTCACCATCATCGTCACCATCATCGTCACCATCATCGTCACCATCATCGTCACCATCATCGTCACCATCATCGTCAAAATCATCGTCACCATCATGACGACCGCCCCCTCCCCTTTTTTTTATATTATGTGTTATCATTTTTTTTAGTTAGGGGCAGTAACTGCAGCAGTAAGAGAGTAGCTGTAGTAATAGTAGTAGTGGGAGAGTAGTAACAGTAGTAGTAGTTTGGTTTTAGTGGTAGTAGTAGTAGCAGCAGCAGCAGCAGCAGTGACTGTAGTAGTAGCAGTAGAAGCAGTAATTGTAGTAGTAGCAGCAGCAGTGATTGTAGTAGTAGCAGAAGCAGTGATTGTAGTAGTAATAGCAGCAGTGATTGTAGTAGTAGTAGCAGCAGTGATTGTAGCAGTAGCAGTGATTGTAGTAGTAGCGGCAGTGATTGTAGTAGTAGCAGCAGTGATTGTAGTAGCAGCAGCAGTCATTGTAGTATTAGTAGCAGCAGTGATTGTAGTAGTAGTAGCAGCAGTGATGGTAGTAGTATCCCCAGCAACAGTGATTGCACTAGTAGCAATAGCAGTGATTGTAGTAGTAGCAGCAGTAGTGATTGTTGTATTAGTAGTAACAGTGATGGTAGTAGTAGCCCCAGCAGCAGTGATTGTACTAGTAGCAGCAGCAGTGATTGTAGAAGTAGCAGCAGCTGTGATTGTAGTAGTAGTAGCAGCAGTGATTGTAGTAATAGTAGCAGCAGCTGTGATTGTAGTAGTAGTAGCAGCAGTGATGGTAGTAGTAGTAGCAGCAGTGATGGTAGTAGTAGTAGCAGCGCCAGTTACAGTAGCAGCAGCAGTGATTGCAAGAATAGCAGCAGCAGTGATTTTAGTAGTAGCAGTATCAGTGATTGTAGTAGTTGCAGCAGCAGTGATTGTAGTAGTTGCAGCAGCGGTAATTGTAGTAGTAGTAGCAGCAGCAGTTATGGTAGTAGTAGCACCAGCAGCAGTGATTGTACTTGTCGCAGCAGCAGTGATTGTAGTAGTAGCAGCAGTGTGATTGTAGTAGAAGTATCAGCAGTGATTGTAGAATTATTAACAGCAGTGATTGTAGTAGTAGTAGAAGCAATGATGGTAGCAGTATCCCCAGCAGCAGTGATTGTACTAGTAGCAGCAGCAGTGATTGTAGTAGTAGTAGCAGCACTGATTGCAAGAATAGCAGCAGCAGCAATTACAATAGCAGCAGTGATTATAGTAGTAGTAGTAGCAGCAATTACAATAGCAGCAGTAATTGTAGTAGTAGTAGCAGCAGCAATTACAATAGCAGCAGTGATTATAGAAGTAGCAGCAGCAGCAATTACAATAGCAGCAGTAATTGTAGTAGTAGTAGCAGCAGCAATTACAATAGCAGCAGTGATTATAGTAGTAGTAGCAGCAGCAATTACAATAGCAGCAGTGATTATAGAAGTAGCAGCAGCAGCAATTACAATAGCAGCAGTGATTGTAGTAGTAGTAGCAGCAGCAATTACAATAGCAGCAGTGATTATAGAAGTAGCAGCAGCAGCAATTACAATAGCAGCAGTGATTTGTTTCAAGTACGGCAGCAGCAATTACACATAGCAGCAGTGATTATAGAAACAAAAATACCTGACACTGTTTGGCCGTCTTGTGTTTCAAATACTGAAACAGCAATACCTGACACTGTTTGGCGTCTTGTGTTTCAAATACTGAAACAGCAATACCTGACACTGTTTGCCGTCATGTGTTTCAAATAATGAAGCAAAAATACTCAGACAATACAAAGGGGAAAAAACAAACAGAAACTATTGCATTACTAAGACATAAATACTAGGATCAGTCTGGGACACAAATGTCACATCCATCTGTTTGTGGATTAGCTAACTGTGTCTTGTCTGTCTGCAGGGATGACACAGTCAGATAGGTAATACGTGTCTGCCTGCAGGGATGACACCATTGGGTATCTAACTGTGTCTTGTCTGCCTGCAGGAATGACACAATCATATATCTAACTGTGTCTTGTCTTGTGTTTGCAGGAATGAAACAGCAATACCTGACACTGTTTCTTGTCTGCCTGCAGGAATGACTGAATCAGTATCTACCTGTGTCTTGTCTGCCTGCTTGTGTTGACACAATAATATAACTAAAATGTCTCAGACAATACAAAGGACACAAACAAAACAGAAACTGTGTCTTGTCTGCCTGCAGGAATGACACAATCATATATCTAACTGTGTCTTGTCTGCCTGCAGGAATGACACAATCATATATCTAACTGTGTCTTGTCTGCCTGCAGGAATGACACAATCATATATCTAACTGTGTCTTGTCTGCCTGCAGGGATGACACCAAGGAGTCCAAAGCCAACGCCCTGGGGCTGGAGAATGTCGGAGGCATCTTCGTGGTGCTGTTGGCTGGTCTCATATATAACTGTCTTGTCTGCTATGCAGGAATGACACAATCTACAAGTCTAAAGTGTCTTGTCTGCCTGCAGGAATGACACAGTAGCATGGTCAGTTGGCTATGACTGTGTAACTTGTTGGACATGCCTGCAGGATATGACCACAATCATTATCTAACTGTGTCTTGTCTGCCTGCAGGAATGACAACAATCATATATCTAACTGTGTCTTGTCTGCCTGCACACACACAATCATTGTCAGCGTATATCTAACTGTGTCTCACTGTTATCACCTGACTGCCATGTTGTTACATCACTGCTATGATCACCTGACAATCATGTTGTTACATATGCTATGCTATCACCTGACTGTCATGTTGTCACTGCCTGCAGTCATGTTCTGACACAATCTGCTGTGTTATCACCTGACTGTGTTACATCACTGCTATGTTATCACCTGACAGCTATGTGTTACATCAATCTATATATCACCTGACTGTGTGATGTCTGCCTGCTGTGTTATGACCTGACTGTCATATATCTCACTGCTATGTTGTCACCTGACTGCAGGTTGTGACACACTCTGTATATCACCTGACTGCCTGTGTTACATCACTGCTATGAATCACACTGTCATGTTGTTACAACTGTGTGTTGTCACCTGACTGCAGGTTACATGACTGCTAATCACCTATCTAATGTTGTCATCACTGCTCTGTTATCCTGACAGGAATGTTGTTACATCACTGCTGTGTTATCACCTGACTGCCATGTTGTCTGCCTGCAGGAATGACACAATGTTGTACATACTGCTGTGTTATCACCTGTCTGCCATGATGTTAATGACTGCTATGTTATCATATATGATGTTAACTGTGTCTTGTCTGACTGTCATGATGTTACACAATGCTATGTTATCACCTAACTGCCATGTTTGTTACATCACTGCTGTGTTATCACCTGACTGCCATGTTGTACATCACTGTCTATGTTATCACCTGACTGCCATGTTGTTACATCACTGCTATGTTATCACCTGACTGCCATGTTGTTACATCACTGCTATGTTATCACCTGACTGCCATGTTGTTACATCACTGCTGTGTTATCACATGACTGTCATGTTGTTACATCGTGCTGCTGTTGGCCATGGTCTCACTGCTAGCTGTCACCTTGTCATGCTTATGATCACTGAGTTTATCACCAAGTCTAAAGAGAATGCATCACTGCTATGGGTGATCAGCAGTGGTCAGTTGGTAATGACTGCTCGCTAACTGCTGATTGGACATGTTTCCTACAAAATATTCTCCACAAATTAAGTATGCATGCCAATACCATAACTTCTTTCTGCCAGATCTACACACACACACACACACACACACACACAAACGAGCTTGTCAGCGTATTGTTGCTACTGTGTTCTCACTGTTATCACCTGACTGCCATGTTGTTACATCACTGCTATGTTATCACCTGACTGTCATGTTGTTACATCACTGCTGTGTTATCACCTGACTGTCATGTTGTTACATCACTGCTGTGTTATCACCTGACTGCCATGTTGTTACATCACTGCTGTGTTATCACCTGACTGTCATGTTGTTACATCACTGCTATGTTCTCACCTGACTGCCATGTTGTTACATGACTGCTATGTTATCACCTGACTGCCATGTTGTTACATCACTGCTGTGTTATCACCTGACTGCCATGTTGTTACATCACTGCTATGTTATCACCTGACTGCCATGTTGTTACATCACTGCTATGTTATCACCTGACTGTCATGATGTTACATCACTGCTGTGTTATCACCTGACTGCCATGTTGTTACATCACTGCTATGTTATCACCTGACTGCCATGTTGTTACATCACTGCTATGTTATCACCTGACTGTCATGATGTTACATCACTGCTATGTTATCACCTGACTGCCATGTTGTCACATGATTGCTATTTTGTCACAACACAGTCATTCTGTACATCACTGCTGTGTTATCACCTGACTGCCATGTTGTTACATCACTGCTATGTTATCACCTGACTGCCATGTTGTCACATGATTGCTATTTTGTCCCAACACAGTCTATCACACTTTCAACAGTGTTATCACCACTCTGTGTTGTCGCTGCTGTCACCTTTTCACTGTTAAGTGTCAGTGCTCCGCTGTGTGTTCACAACTACTGTCTATCACACTTTCAACAGTCAGTGCTCCACTCTGTGTTCACATCTACCATCTCCCCATCATCAGCAGTCCCTGTGTGCTGAGATCGCCCAAGAACTACGTTTCGCTGTCAAATGTGGTGGCTCATCCAAGCGAATCAAACGCAAGGGACGGGAACGATGCCAGGACTGTAAGCTCGGGAGGCGCCACGCCAGCCACTCACACCATATACATGTAAGTAGACCAGGTGTCAGACAGACTAACCACTCACACCATATACATGTAAGTAGACCAGGTGTCAGACAGACTAACCACTCACACCATATAAGACCAGTCATTTGCACCATAAACAGGTGAGTAGCTCAGGTGTCAGACAGACCAGCCATTTACACCATAAATAGGTGAGTAGCTCAGGTGTCAGACAGACCAGTAACTTACACCATAAACAGGTGAGTAGCTCAGGTGTCAGACAGACCAGCCACTTACACCATAAAGAGTTGTTTATGACGTCACACCCCAGCATGGTTGCTATGCGACTGATATGCGTTGGAGAATAATCATTGTCCAGGTGCCAGTTTGTATGAGACTTAATCACGTGAAAATAATTTACACAGTACAGCGTCTCCTGGACTCACAACTTAGTTTCGCTCTGGCTACAAGGTCATAAGTTGAACAGTAGTCGTAAAGAGAATTTATATTTGTTAATATTGTTTCCGTTTAAACGAGTTTTAACAACTGCACGTAAAACACAAAATTCAATCTATACAGGTGTCATTATTACCCCTTGACCTATTAAACGCTGGGTCGATATGGCAGCCATGGCCAGTTTTGAAGAACAGTCTGTGATACCGCAGTTGAATGCGGCATAGATCGTCTCTTTGCTGTGCTTGATCTGAATGCCAGGTTGCCTGAAATCACCATGTACTTATAAAACTAAACTGGTACTATTGCGTGTCTCATTCAGGAGCTAGGACCCCAGTCTCCCAACGGGGTGATTCAGCTTCGACAGACCTGCAAATTCCCGACCTCAGTGCCTTCAAAGACTCGATCTCCCAGAACTCGATTTGAGACGGAGTTCTCGCCGGAGGCTGGCTCAGAAACGGTCAGCCACACCCGAGAATTCAATGGCGACTACCAGCACGTAGATAACAGTGACAACGAAGTATGAGATCTGAGGGCAACATATCTGGCTGCTTCACCACTTCGATGTATGCCTGTAGCATCTGCATCAACGGCCCCGTGTGATGGAGACGACCTCAGGCTGACAACTCTTCCTGGCCACTGAGGTGTCTAGTTCATCGATCCCTTCTGATGCAAGGCACAATCTCAAGTACATCGAATCTGCGACAGTGCACGGCTGTCTTACCGTTTTCTTGCCCTGTCCTGTCGGACGGCTACAGGACATCTGTGGCATGACAAGTGGGAACCTGGTCTGCTTACTGCGTCCTAGGGAAGACTGACAGACCAGCTGTCACCAGGTGGCTAGGGCCTTTCACCTTTGGGACATATCACAGGCAGCCCTTGAGTCAGACACATCGCACACAACACAGCGACTAGCGATGCCAGTTCAGCTGTTCCTGATGCCATCGGCTCGGTGACTTGAATGAGGTTAACTGTAATGTTCAGTGCTATGAGCTTGAACTCTATGTAGTGGCTGTTTCAGTTCAAGTCCTACAGTGCATAACCTGTCATTTAGATTCGTATGCTATTGTTCATTTGCTTTGTTCCTATTCTCATTCTATATTTTAGTTGATATTTTCGACGATAATCGGTAATTTCGACAAAACAATTGACATTACGAATATTTGGTATTTGTCAGTACTTCAGAGATTTGTGTGGATACACTTGACTATATCCTTCCATCTGCTACCATAGCGTGTAGATATACTTGACTATATCCTTCCATCTGCTACCATAGCGTTTAGATACACTTGACCAAATCCTTTCATCTGCTACCATAGCGTGTAGATACACTTGACTATATCCTTCCATCTGCTACCATAGCGTGTAGATACACTTGACTATATCCTTCCATCTGGTACCATAGCGTGTAGATACACTTGACTATAGCTATCCATCTGCTACCATAGCGTGTAGATACTTGACTATATCCTTTCATCTTGTACCATAGCGTGTAGATACACTTGACTATATCCTTCCATCTGCTACCATAGCGTGTAGATACACTTGACTATATCCTTCCATCTGCTACCATAGCGTGTAGAGACTTGACTATATCTTTTCATCTGTTACCATAGCGTGTAGATAGACTTGACTATATCCTTTCGTCTAGTACTTTGACGTGTAGATATACTTGACTATGTCATTCCGTCTGGTTTTTTGACGTGTAGATACACTTGACTATATCTTTCCGTCTAGTACTTTGACGTGTAGACATACTTGAATATGTCCTTCCGTCTGGTACTTTTACGTGAAGATACACTTGACTATATCCTGCCATTCGCTTGTGACACCTTCATTAACTCCGTATCAGATCTTATGAGATTTTCGTTAACTCACTCTCAGAGTTTATTGCGCCTTCAATAACTACCTGTCAGTGTTTCAGGGAATGTAAGAACGACTACAGTCACATCACACGTCATATATCTTATGAGAGGGCCATATCACGTCACGCCACACATCATACAAGAGAGACACAGTCACGTCACCTGTCTTGTGAAAGAGACAGTCATGTCGCATATATTTTGTGAGAAAGAGACTGTCACGTAACATATTTTTTAAAGAAACACAGTCGCTTCACGTGTCATGTGAGAGACGCGCGGTCACGTCACATATTTTGTAAGAAAGACAGTCACATCACCTATCCTGTGAGAGAGAAACAGTATCATCACATCCCATATGAGAGAGATAGTCACATAACATATCTTGTGAGAGAGTGACACAGTTACGTTACTTATCTTGTGAGAGAGAAACAGTCGCGTCACTTGAATTTTGAGAGGGACACAGTCAAGTCAGTTTTTTGTTAGGGCACAGTAACGTCACATATCTTGTGAGAGAAACACAGTCACGTCACATATCTTGTGAGAGAAACACAGTCACGTCACATATCTTGTGAGAGAAACACAGTCACGTCACATATCTTGTGAGAAACACAGTCACATCACATATCTTGTGAGATAAACACAGTCACGTCACATGTTTTGTGAGAGAAACACAGTCACGTCACATGTCTCGTGAGAGAAACACAATCACGTCACATGTCTTGTGAGAGACACACAGTCACGTCACATGTCTTTTCAGAGACACACAGTCAAGCCAATGTTTTGTTATTACCCAGTCAAGTCACAAATCTTGTAATAGAGTCAGGTGACGTCATCTGGCTTGTGAGAGGGACAAAGTCACATCGCATATCTTGTGAGAGAGATAGTCACGTCACATATCTTGTGAGAGAGACAGTCACGTCCCATATCTTGTGAGAGAGACAGCCACGTAAAATATCCTGTGAGAGAGACAGTCACGTTACATATCTTGTCAGAGAGACCATCATGTTACATATCATGTGGGAGAGAGACAGTCACGGGAATATCTTGTGAGACAGTCACGTTACATGTCTTGTGAGAGATAGTTACGTTACATATCTTGTGAGAGAGGCAATCAAGTCACATATCGTGTGAGAGAGACAGTCACGTTACATATCTTGTGTGCGAGAAAGAGGGAGTCACATCACATATCCTGAGAGAGACACAGTCACGTCACCTTCCTGTGTGAGAGACACAGTCACGTCACCTTCCTGTGAGAGAGACAGTCACTTCACCTTCCTGTGAGAGAGACACAGTCACTTAACCTTCCTGTGAGAGAGACACAGTCACTTCACCTTCATGTGAGAGAGACACAGTCACTTCACCTTCCTGTGAGAGAGACACAGTCACTTCACCTTCCTGTGAGAGAGACACAGTCACTTCACCTTCCTGTGAGAGAGACACAGTCACTTCCTTTCTGTGAGAGAGGCACAGTCACTTCACCTTCCTGTGAGGGAGACACAGTCACTTCACCTTCCTGTGAGAGAGACACAGTCACTTCACCTTCCCGTGAGAGAGACACAGTCACTTAACCTTCCTGTGAGAGAGACACAGTCACTTCACCTTCCTGTGAGAGAGACACAGTCACTTCACAGAGAGACACAGTCACTTAACCTTCCTGTGAGAGAGACACAGTCACTTCACCTTCCTGTGAGAGAGAGAGAGAGAGACACAGTCACTTCCTTCCTGTGAGAGAGGCACAGTCACTTCACCTTCCTGTGAGGGAGACACAGTCACTTCACCTTCCTGTGAGAGAGACACAGTCACTTCACCTTCCCGTGAGAGAGACACAGTCACTTCACCTTCCTGTGTGAGAGACAGTCACTTCACCTACCTGTGAGAGAGACACAGTCACTTCACCTTCCTTGTGAGAGACACAGTCACTTAACCTTCCTGTGAGATAGACACAGTCACTCACCTTCTTGTGAGAGAGACACAGTCAGTGAGAGAGACACAGTCACTTCACCTTTCTGTGAGAGAGACACAGTCACTTCACCTTCCTGTGAAAGAGGCATAGTCATGTTTACTATCTTGTTATGACGCGGTCATGTCACCTTTCTTGTAAGTTACACAGTCACATCACCTGTCTTGTGAGATACACAGTCACATCACCTGTCTTGTGATATATACACAGTCACATCACCTGTCTTGTGAGATATACACAATCACGTAACCTGTCATGCCAGATACACGCAATCACGTCACCTGTCTTGTGAGATACACGCAATCACGTCACCTGTCTTGTGAGATACACACGCAATCATGTCACCTGTCTTGTGAGATACACGCAATCACGTCACCTGTCTTGTGAGATACACGCAATCACGTCACCTGTCTTGTGAGATACACGAGACGTCACAAAGATACACACATCACATCATATGTCTTGTGAGATACACGCAATCACGTCACCTGTCTTGTGAGATACACACAATCACGTCACCTGTCTTGTGAGATACACACAATCATGTCACCTGTCTTGTGAGATACACACAATCATGTCACCTGTCTTGTGAAAAATACACAATGACGTCACCTGTCTAATGGGAAAAACACAGACATGTCATCTGCCTTGTGAGAGAGATGCAGTCACGTCATCATATTTTGCAGGAGAGAGACAAAGTAACATCACATATATTGTGAGAAAGGCAACGTCAAGTCAAATGTCTTTTGATAGAGACACAATCCCATCACATTTCTTATGAGAGAGAAAATCAAGTCACATGTCTTGTTAGGACACAGTCACGTCAGCTTTTTGTTTGCTTTTTAGGTCACAATCACGTCACCTGTCTTGTTAGGTCACAGTCCCGTCACCTGTCTTATTAGGTCACAGTCATGTAATCTGTCTTGTTAGGACACAGTGATGTCATATTTCTTGTGAGAGAGACACAGTCACGTCATCTGTCTTGTTAGGTCACAGTCACGTCACCTGTCTTGTTAGGATATAGTGATGTCATATTTCTTGTGATAGAGACAGTCACGTCATCTGTCTTGTTAGGTCACAGTCACGTCACCTGTCTTGCTAGGTCACAGTCATGTCATCTGTCTTGTTAGGACACAGTCATGTTATCTGTCTTGTTAGGACACAGTCGCGTCATATATCTTGTGAGAGAGACACAGTCACGTCATATTGTGACACAGATATATGTCTCACATTCCCCCAAGAATGGTTGTGCCTAATTCGGACAATGTGTGTTATGGATACAGTTCGTAGCTTTCTTGATCGTACTCAACAACACGGCCAGTGATGTAAATAACTGTTACAGATCTCTTTGTTTATTTCTACAATATTGTAAGTCAAACAGTAGGAATCATTTCATTTATGCGACAGTATAACATTCTAGTAACTTATTACTGGCTATTCATATGTCTCTCTATGAGTTCCTTAATCACTCTTCTAGCTAAACTCCAAGTTTAACATATCTTCTGACGAATGTTTTCTCAACTGCCCTCTCAAGCGGCTAGGAACCAACTGTCTTCTCGCCAAGTCCTTGTCTACTCCCTTCCAAGCGTCTCCGCCTCGACTGTCCTATCTTCCCTCGCGTGGGTTCTCAATCACTCCATGTCATCCGTCTCCGATGGTCACGTTTGAATAAACGTACTCGATTTAACTGGTCACAGTGCACCT